GCGTCCGCCTCCCCCGGCCAAGGGTCAGCTGGCATCGCCTCCTCGTGGGGCCCTGGGATTCACAGCCTGGGGACATTCCTGTCCCCGGACTGCAGGGACAGTCCAGAGCCCCTTCCTACCCGGGAGCCCCAACCCTCCTGAGATCCAGGCTGCTGCACCCTTCACCTCTCCTGTTGTTGGCTGAAGTCCTCGGTATCCTTGGCTGGAGGGTGAAAGGTGCTGAATCCCCATGTAGGTGTTTGGTGCTGGCAGAAACCACCGCAGCACAATTAGAATAAATGCTCTGTAAGCATTAATTAGACTTGGGGCTGGGCTGGGCTCTAGGGGATGCTGCCAAGGCCCCCAGCCCTGCAGTCCTGATGGGCACAGGGGGCTGAGTCTGTGGCAGCTCTGCAGATGGGCAGGACGTGCTGGGCTGTGCCAGAGCAGGGCACTGAGCTGTGCCTCTGCCACGGTGCCTGAGCTCCCCAGCACTGCAGGGCACGTGTAGAGCGTGAGGCAGGCTGTGCTGGGGCTGCCAGCATGGAGAAAAGGTAAGAGCAGAACAGCCCTCCTGGCTGGGAGGGCTCCTCCGTTGTCCAGCCACCTCAGGGTGCACAGGTTGGTGCACAGGCAGTGTCCTCCCTGGCTGGGAGCCGCAACCTGGCCATGGTCACAGTGCTGTGGCTTTTCCCCTTGCCCCCAGCCCTGCCCTGGCTCCCTGCTTCAGCTGATCCTTCCTGATGCTGTGGCTGGTGGCTGCAGTAAGGGCAGGGGCTTCATGACCCCCTTTTCCTTTGCTTTGGCAGCACCATGGCTCAGCCCAAGGGCACGGTGGTCCTGGCCTACAGTGGGGGGCTCGACACCTCCTGCATCCTGGTGTGGCTGAAGGAGCAGGGCTACGATGTTATCGCCTACCTGGTGAGCTCTGGGCTGTCCCTGGGGGTGCAGGGCCATTGGTCTGGGGGGGCAATGGGGGTCCTGCTGTGTGTGTGTGCTGTGGGTGGGACCCTGCTAGCACTGGTTAACCATGGCCCAGCTCACTGCTGCTCTGCTGAGCTGCCAGCCCTGTGTGGCACAGCCTGTCCCTGCCAGCTAATGACCCTGTGCTAATGAAGGCAGGGGATCAGGGCAGAGCCAAGGGGCTTGGCAGAGCAGGGCATGGCCCTGAGATATCCAGCTCAGGGAGTGGAACTCCCCTCCTGCCCAACCTCGGTGTCCTCAAGCCCAGCCACCACGGACTCTGTCATACCACACACAATGCCCTATGCCAAACTGGACTTGCTCTGGGTTTTGTGGCCTTGTTTCACACTGAGTCTTTTTTTTTGTTTTCACTCCTTTCCAGGCCAACATTGGGCAGAAGGAAGATTTTGAGGCAGCACGAAAGAAAGCACTGGCACTGGGGGCCAAGAAGGTAACACAGTGTCCCTGCCCTTGCTGCCCACCATGGGGCTCTCACACACCCCAGAGAGGGGATTGTGCCAATGAGAAATCCTCCAGAGGATTTGCCCCAAAGCCTTATAGTGCCATTTAGGAAAAGAGAAGCAAAGAGATTTTTTGCTGCACCGTTCCTAAAACTGCAGCGTGGATTTCCCCTGCAGCAACCCTTCCATCAGGGTCCCTCTGCTGGCAGGTTTACATCGAGGACGTGAGCAGGGAGTTCGTGGAGAGCTTCATCTGGCCGGCAGTGCAGGCCAACGCGCTCTACGAGGATCGGTACCTGCTGGGCACGGCCCTGGCACGGCCCTGCATCGCCCGCGGGCTGGTGGGCATCGCCCAGCAGGAGCGAGCTGCCTACATCGCCCACGGGGCCACGGGCAAGGTGAGCAGGGCACACGGGCACCGGGCAGGGGTGGCTCCATGTGCTCGGCTGGGGGAGCTGCTCAGTCTGCAGGGCGAGCTGGGGGTGCCAGGAGGGGTGCTCAGGGTGTTTTGGGGGGACTGTGCAAAACTCAGCCGTGTTTCAACACTTCCTCCTCGCTTCTGGGATTTCTGTGCCCAATTTCGGTTCCGTCTCGCTGTTGGGAAGGCTGGAGTCACGGCTGAGTGTCTGGCAATAATTTCAAAAAGCTGGGGCTGCCCGGGCCAGGAGCCGGCTGGGACTGAGCCAGCACAACCAGGCGTGGTTAGGGGTGTCCTGCGATAGGTCCTGTCCCACAGTCTGTCCCTATTCCTGTCCCCAGTTCTGGCTCTCCCGGTCCCTGTCCCTATCCCGGTT